GTAATGACATACATTTAATCCTGTAGGATGGGATCACTGCAAGAGAGCTAATTAAACTATCACCACAGTATAAAACTGACAAAGACAGACAAAGAGCATTAAAGATATTCCATGTCGCCAAGGAAGCACAGGTAAACATAGAGTCATAATATAACCATAATTACGATGATGTGGAAAGCGTATGTTATCATTGCTGTTGTCTGCGTTCTAAACTAATGTTAGAAATAGCTTTCAGTGAATTTAAAAATGAAATATTCATTGAGGTTTACTTCACTGCTGACAAGGTTCTACAACTATATTTACTAGTTGTATGTGAGGTTGTGCTTAAGTTGTAGGGTAAAAGCTAATAAAACAGAACAATGTTACAGATGTATAAGAAAAGGGTTATTTTTGTATAAAAAAAAATCACTGCTCACACTTAATAATTTTATTTTTAATAACTTTTGCAATTCCTTTTTTTTTTTCCAGGGAGAATTATTGACTGCTGTGTTCTTAGTAATTGCTAAGAAATATCACATGAAGTGGCCAGCGTTGGCCAAAAAACTCAACATCTTGAACTATGAAATTAAGTGCATTGCTGAGAATCATGCAGATGACTCTGAGAAACAGTGTTATGAAATGCTGGTCCTTTGGAGCCTCAAGAACTTCTATGACACTAATTTATTCCAGAAGTTGCTTAAAATCTTAAGGAAGTGGAAAAACAGGAAATTAATTGGTGAGTAATCTATTATGGGTTAAAACATCCACTACTGTCTGAAAACGGGGACTTTGCCTTCATGTGTGTGCGCATCCTCCTCCCTGTCTTAGACATAGCTTGATTGATCACATTCAAACTTCACACACACTCATGTCTTGGGATGCATATGTATATGGAAAAATGAAAAATGGAAAATGTTATGTTGATAGTACTCTTCTTAGTATGTGGACCGTTCCAAAGATGCAAATATTTTGGAGTTCCGAGATGTTAATATCTCCAGGAATTTTGCTGGTGTAAATTTCCAGGCCCTTCTTTATGAGCCCTAGTTCCCCAATCAGTACTGGCACTGTTCTAGTTGTCATTCCCACATTTTGTTGATTTCAATTTTGAGGTCTTTGTACTTGGACAACTTTTCAGTCAGTTCATTATTATTATTGTTATTATTATGAACCATGTAATGCAGTTACTTCTACTTCATGTTTTTTTTTATAGAGCAAGTGATTGTGAAACATCACGAAAGAATGGGAATAGTGTTCAAGAAACACAAAATATGAATAAAGTGCATCTTGAAACATTGCAAGACTAGTGATGAACACTTCACATCCTCTCATCATCACCGTGGATACCAGTTATATTCAACTCAAGTTTCAGAAAATATAGCTACAGATTTAACTGCAGAACAAGATATCTTGTTTTCCATTGCTTTCTAGTTGATTGATACTGAATTACAGATGAATTGCATAAATTTAGTAAATGGGGCCATGCTGGTAGTGTGAAATAATTGAATTTTTATTTCAATATCTCCAAAAAATGTGTGTAATTGGGTTTGATTTCAAGCTCTACCCATATTGTTGCTGTGTTTGTGCATACAGTCTGTTACATACCCCTTTGCCAGAACTGGAAACTGATTGATAGAATTTGTAAAGATCCAGGAATATGCTGTCCTTCTTTAATTATTGTCTGCATATTGATTGACTACTATGCAAATTAGTCGTTTACATTCTCAATTGTGTTGTTTCTAGGGAAATTATAGATTTATAAAACTTGAGATGATAGTTTTAATGTTACAGTGTACTTGTATACAGAGATAAGATGGTTTCATTAGTACTATTAGTAATATAAGCATTTGGAGATTTAAACATTTAAAAGATTTTGGCTTGTAGTTCTTTTATAGCTATAATGTTGTGTTTTTTTATAAAGATTTCTTCAACAAAATGTGATAGCCAATTTATGTTACCTTTCACATAATAATCTTCCACAATTTTTTCCATATTTTTTTTTTCAGAAAATTGTAATCAAACCCATTGGTCTAAAATTGAGAAAAAAAGAATGGAAAAATATTTGAGAAAGTACAAAATGTTGCACCAAGACATGTGTGGATGGATGTGTGTGTAGGTGGGCAGATTGTTTTGGGGTGGGGTATACTGTTCAATTTATTTCAATTATTTCTGCAGTAGGCTATGGTAGATTAGTAAATTTATGTACATGGAATAAGGTTGAGTACTGTAAATGCATTAGTTATTGACTGGGTTTTAATTTAATTATTTTTGCTGATAAGTAAAATCCGCTAAATTAAATCATGTAAAATAACAATAAAACTCATCGTTTTCTTGACAAATTTGTGAAATTAAAACACAGTGAATATGCTCAAAACATCAAAATAGTGAAATTAAATGGTTTTACAGTATATTTAAACTACTGTAGTTTGCATGCAGTACTTGTGTTTGAAATTTGTGTATATATACAATGTGTTTTACATGCGTTATATACGCTGTAACATGGTGGTGACTGATGTAGCATTCTGTAATATAACAGCTGGAACTTAATTGTTGCAGCATAATGCACCCAAAGATTTCATAGAGAATTTACCGTCCATTCTAATATACATGTATATAATAAGTACATTGACAATTACATTACCAAAATGTTATGACTTGGGTCATGGTATCAGCATTTCAGTTGATCTGTCTATGCAAACAGTTCTAAGGAGTACTGTACAATTTAAGTGTAACTTTTAGCTGGCTTTCATCTGACTTGAATACAGCTTAGCTTGTACTCAAAACTAGCATATGTAAATAATTATGTAAATACACTATATGTACGTAAATAATACTACAAAGAATATGTTAGAAATATTCATGACAAGGATACTGTAAAAAATTTGACTTTTTATAGAATAAAAATAAATGCAAACTGAAGTAATCAGAAAGCCATCTTGGGATTAAAGTTACCCACAAACTGTACTGTATTTAGTGCGTTGTATGTTTTTTTGAAAATATGTATTTTCCAGTGGCAGAATATATTACCTTCACAGTATTATTATGTGTACTTATAGCTATGTATACAGTACTTTGGTTTGTCTTGCTGTGCTATATATTAAGTGTGTGCTACAAGAATACAATAACAAAAATTATCAAGATTTCAAGGATTGAAGTTTGATGTTTTAAAAACAATGCAAGACAATTGAGTTTTTTCAAACTTCAACAAATAATTACAAATTTCAGTCTAAAGTCTTGATTTGAGTTGTATTAAGATGTTTTCATAATTGGCAATCATGATTGAATATTACTGTTTTTAAAATGTAACATGTTTAAAAATTTGTTCAGGAAAATGTTTACAATGCAATTAATTTCAGATCAATTATTTACAGTTTTTGTAACTTTAATACTCTGTGCATTCTTAGTTTATATTATTGTTTGATATGTATATTCTGCATTCCACATGTAAGTGCTAGTTAAATATAAATTAAAATGTAAAATGCAAATCACCAGTGTGAACCAAAATGGCCGCTGTAAACAAACCTGCTTACCATGTAAACTTTCATTTTGAGAGACTTTTAATTTGTTAGCGATAATTTTATTTTTAATCCGAGAAAGTGCTACACTTTTTCAAAATATTTGAAGAAATTTGTAGAAAAATACATCAAAATAATATTTTGGTAGTACAAATGTTTTTGTTTTTTTTCGCATCTTGTATGCTTTTTTCAGATTTTGTGTGTTGTATGTATATACTTTGTGTTAAAGACTTTAGTGCCTGCCTTATCCGTCCATTGAATTCTCTGCATCTACATTTAAATAAATAATATAGGTTTGTAATAAAATATTTGATGCTGCACTGTCTGGTTTTCTCATATTTCTTCATCTTGATATTTCAAGGTATAGTCAAGCGTTTGTGGAGATGTGATACAAAACTTTGTAAGCGTACGATTGCTATCTACTGAAGGATGTTTGTAAATGTATTAACTAGCTCCTGTCAGAAGTTCGTGATGTGTTCATTTCTGAAATGAATTAACTTACCAGTAATGTGTGACACATCATCAGAACCATCAATGTACATTTCAAGACTAAAAATTTGCCGTTTTGTCTACACATATTTAAATTGTACTTGTAACAAGTATTGGTACAACAAAGAAGAAACCTTTTTTTGTTTTTATCGTGGAGTATCATTGGAATGTGCCATGCAGCATAATTCCCTAGATAGAATTACCCTGCTAAATAAAATACAAAACATATTATAGTGAATGCGATGAAGAATCAGGAAAAAAAATATAAAAATAGTACTGATCGATTTATTGAGAAGTTCAGCCCCAAATGACTGTGCTCAAGCAACTTAGACAGGCAAAATAATTTGTTCAGGTCCAATCAAGAATTGTGCAATGCTCAAACTCCATGACATCACTTCACCTCCCTTTCCGGATCCAATGGTCTTCGGAAATGACGCAAAATAGCTTGAATTTTAGCGCATTTTTGAAATGAACATATAATTGATACAGACACGTTACTACATGCACGATTTTGGTTCTGCCGGGGACATTTAGGCAGAAAGACACGTATGCGTGACTCGTTGTGCAGGATCAATCTTTAGTGTGGTCATGGTTCTTCACATTACAGCGTTCCACATTACAGCGCTTCTCTGACGTACATCGGGGATGACACGCAGTCACGTGGGACGAGAAGGAGCCCATTCATGAAAGATATAGTATAGTATATTTTATTTGACACAAAAAAAAATGCATGGAAATTACATAATCTATGGCCAATATACATTTATAAACATACAAACAAATAAACAAACACTGTAAAAATATAAAATAAATGTTAGAAAAAAATGTTAAATATTAAAAGTTTAATTTTTGTTTTCTGTTAAAATATCATTGATGAATTTTCCCAGGCTGTTGGTAATGAAACCATCATTTGAACTTAAAATTTGTTTGAACATGTTTTGTTCTGACAATGTTAGTAGACTATCATTATACAATGACAAAATATTAATAAATTGTGTACGACTAGTTATTAACCTTTGGTTCTTACAAACCAATAATGCATGTATTTCATCACCAATAGCCTTGTCTTCACACAAATTACAAATTATTTCCTCTGAAGGCATGCCTTTGTATCTTAACCTTTCAATTGGCAGTGTATGAGCAGAGATTCTAAATTTGGTTATACTTGTTCTATGACTAATATTTTTTTACAAGTTCTAGATATGGCTCAAATTCATATTTTGTAAATACGTAATTTATTATTTTCTGTTTTCTAGAGGGCTGGCAACCACTGGTTATTAATATAGGTTTTCTGTAATTTTATTTTTGTTTGTATACTATTGAACTCTGCATTATCATGTACATTTGTTATTTCCTGTAATTTGTTCACAAATGCTGTCCAGGTGTTGCCATTTAGTTTGCTTTCTGACTTGAGAGCACATTGAACCAAAGGGCTGCATTCTGAATTTAATATTCTCCTTTGGTATTTTAGCATTTGTGCACATATATCAGTGATGATTGGGTAGCTTCCAAGCTCTGCTCTAGAAGCAATGTTACTGGACCTTTTATGTACACCGAGTGTTTGCTTGCAAAATTT